TGTGTGTGTGTGTGTGTGTGTGTGTATTCATCTGCCAGCTTTTCTTCCTTGTGCATTTTTTTTCCACAAAATAACGGGGCCGCAGGTCCCCCAGGCCCCAGGATCCACCATTGTCTATCTGTTGGTCTTTAAAGGGTGACCACTTACAACAGCTCTTCTTGTAGTACTATTTCCAGAAATCTCGCAGCACAACTCACCCAAATTTATGCTAAAATGAATATCAAACAGAGTTTTTAGCTAAACAAACCGAGCAAAGTACTTGCCCAGGCCACATTCACCAACAGCAATGACTTTTCCCTTATTTTCCTGTGCTACTGTAATCAGTTTCTGCAGATAGTCAGCTGGGTCTTGACCATTCTGTTCAAATTCACTGCAACGAGTTGGGTGACATCCAACAGTTGAGTGAAAAAAATCTAGCAAGAAATCAAACGAATGTACAGTTACTTTTCAAAGTACAAGAGCTGGATGAAATGAGAATCTTCTTTATCAACAAAAACCCATCATTGTGACTATTTTGTGGTCCTCTTAGGAGGCTTAACCTTTTAAACTTTTAACTATGAAGATCCAATAAGTTGAAAATTTCTCCCAAGTGACTACCATACATTTCCTTGTAAACCAAACAGGAGAATTAACAAATAGACAATGGTTTAGCTTTGTCTGAACTCTAATTGACAACCATAATCATCATCACAGTAATCAAAGTGTTGTAGACTTATGAGGCTCGGCCTAAACCACCGTTGATTTGTTTTTTTTTTACCACACTATTGACGTCAAATAAAACAATTCCTTCAGTGTGTGACACTTTGCGTGACACTTTGAAGCAACCAGTGTTGTCTGTACTTTAATCAACAACAGCAAATTGGCCAATCAGATTGCAACATTAATTACCACAAATTGTGGTAAAACTTTATTTTGAATCAAGATAATGCCCACTGGCTGACAAGCTTCTCTGTCCTCACACCACTCACCAAGATCATGTATAGCAAAGAGAAATTACAGGTAAATCACATCTGGGGTTATGATCCCTGCGAGTCACCAGACCTGAATTTCTTCCCACATTAAGGCTGCTGAATTATTTATTAAGATCACGAGACCAAAGGAATGATCACCAACCTAAGAGGCTTTGATTGTAAAACAATTTCTCCTGGTTATGAAAATGTATGGAGAAGAGTAAATACTGTTTTGAAAATAAAGATACCGATACTACCATGTATAAGGTCAATGGGAAAATAGTTGCAAAATTGCAGAATTGTAGTGCTCTTTGATTTTTACCCTTTGTTTGTGCAAGCTCCAGTGCATTGTGACTTTCAGATAAATTTCCTGCTGTAATTATCATCTGAAACAGAAAGTAGACAAAGCACATTTTAAATAAAACTTCATTTTTAAAATGTTTTGAGTTTATTTGGTAGTCTTGGTTTCAGGATATACCTTCCTACAGAGCTGAATGTTTCACTGTTTTGGAGACATGAATTCAACTTGCAAAAATTTTTCTTACCCTTTCCATGCCAGCATCAGATGCCCTCTTGAGCACCTCTGTAAAATCATCTACAAAACAAACCTGAACTTTACCGACAGTTGCACTGCAAGATTTATTTGCCGAGGAGTAGTTAACCCAACAATAACCAATCTTACTGGGAGTGGGGGGAGGGGGCATCTGTAAAATTTCTTCTTTATTTATTGTAAACTGCCGCCGGCAGTCTGGAAAAGTCCCCCACACAGTGTTGTAAAGCGCATTAGAGCAATTACATGGAAATACGCTATAGAAATTGATCTATATTATTATTATTATTATTATTATTATTATTATTATTATTATTATTATTATTAACCTGTCTAGTCAGAATGTGAGACCCAAGCATTTCTTTACAATTGTGACAGGAAAATTTAGTGTTAGATCAAGTTTGCCTGTTTTTTTAGAAAATTGTATGGAAATCACACAAATAAAAATCAATGTAAATAACTTCTTGGGGCTTAAGGGTTAGTACATGAACAAAAACTCTCTTTAAAGTACTAAGCATGCATCCCAATCTAGCATTTCACTTCCTACAATTTTCTTTAAGAGCCTCCTCTCACAAGTTGCTGTAACTAATGGTGTGCATTAATGGCGTAATGGATGATTAAGAGATGTGAATTTTTTTTTTTTTAAGTCTTGCCTTCATGAGCTTGCCTTCCATGATAAATTCCTCTAAACATTGGATCTAAAAAAAAAATGTCAGGAACATACTAAGAAATTAGCTGCACTAAGTAGAGTACCAATAATGTGTGAGTCAGGTAAAAATATTCCTGTAAAAAAGTGTTCTAAGCCAGTCAGGTACCATGCTAGGCTTCTTATAAGAAATGCACAAAAAAAATAGAGCAGTTGGATAATCAATATCTTCTTAGCTGTTTTGGTGTGTAGTGTTGTTAAGTATTTTTCCTCATTGTTTCATTTTGACTCACCCTAAGGGCTCATCAAAATACGGCACCACTTGTTAACATACTCAGTGATACTACATTTAACAAATGGTAAACACCACAACGTACAGTATTGAGTTATGGATGCACTTGGGAGGTTGCTAAGCATGAAAGAAGCGTACGAGTTGTACGAGGCGATAGCCGAGAGCGACTCTAGCCTCTTGAGTGCTTATCAAACCTCCAAGTGCATCCATAACTCAATAGTGTACACCGTGGCATTTAATATTTGTTTAATTTACAACATAACATTTGATACATTGTAGCAAAAGAGTTTTTCTTTTATTTAACAAATCTTATGTGATCAGAAAAACAAGTGCACGCATAAAACTAGTCTTTGCATTTGCTCATGTCAGCAGCGTACACCCATGGGCAAATGGTGAATGCTGAATTGACCAATCAGAGCATGTACTTTACTTTGGTTATGTTATAAATTCAAATGTTTAACAATATCTGTAAATATTATACTCTTCCTTTCTCACTCCCCATCGGCAGTCTAGTGTGTTTAGGTTGCAAGATATTTTAGTCCAGTTTATTAAAATCCATAAAATCATGATGATGGATTCTCAACTTAAATTATACAAAACAACTAACCCTAAACTAAAGACAAGACAAAAAAAAATTCCCTTTTGATTAACTTTCAAAGGATATTTCTCCTTCCCAATAGTTTTTTCCCCCCTACGTTCCTCCCTTATCCCTCATATGAACACTAAGAGTGCAAAACCATAAAACGAAAGAGAGAAATATAAGGGGGTACTTTACATGTATTTCCATTGATCTCAATAATAATTTTGATCAAATAATGTGGAATAATATTTTTTGGGTACCTTGAAAAAGACAATTACTTGTTGTAAATATTATCCTTATCTTGTGAGAGAGAGAACTATTATAACCCTTAAGGTACATAATTCTGTTGTGACTGGGCAACGTAACACTCTCGCATCTCTAAGAGGGTGTAGTGGGGGGAGGGGGTTGGGAACGAGGAAAAGGAAACAAACTTCCCGGGAAGCTCAAGGGGAAGGTAGAGGAGAAAGTAACCTGCTCACGTATAGCAGCGTAATTTTTTTTAAATATGAGGGAAATGTGCAAATACCCAAGGATATTTAAGGCTTGAAAAATATCAGCTCAGCGAAAGGAGAAAATGATGTATGACAAAGTGTTTCTTACCTGTTAAATTAACTCCGATATCTTTCAAGGGGAAATTGTTAACAAAAACAAAATTTGATTATACTGCACCATCATTTTATACCAACGATCACTCAGTATACTGTATAAAGAGAAAAAACGATATTCAAGTAAACTCAACAAACCAATAAAACGGAGCGACGCAGCCGCCATCTTGCGAATCATGAATACAAATTATGAGTGTTACATAACAAGAACATAATTGTGATTTTACCGCTGACTGTTAGACAACACGAATTTAATTAAAAATTTTCTTCAAGCAGGAGTGTACGGCGCTAGCACCAATATTTTAACTTCGACCTTCGAGGTAAGTTGACTTGAGGATTTTTCTTCCGACTGATGAGTGATCTAATCCTTTCTTAAGAAGTTAAGTAGCTAGACGCTCATGCTGCGCTCCGTCAATAGACAAGAAAGTAACTGGTTACCTAACATTGATTAAATTTGTGTTCTTAGCTTCCAGTTCGATTCGTTTGATTTTTCAAAATGGTTTTCGTTTTGTAACTTAAGGCAAACAGTGTAAACCAGCTTATTATTTTCTTTTTTAAAGATATGGTTACCATAGCTGTTTTTGCTGGTCAGCTCCTTATCGATCAGACGAGAGGGAACTTTGAGTAGTTGCAAAGACATATTTAGACAGACTAGCTAGACGTTGAGGATAGTTTGTGCAATGTAGCGCTGTTTGATATCAACGATGCGTATTTTGGTGAGAAAAAAATTTAACAAACGCCTCAAGCTGCTGTATTTGGTAAATCGTGATATAAACTGACGTAAACACTCTTTAAAAATACTGAGCTTTAACCCAATATTTTAATATTTCTAAAACTTCCTTTCAGTTATATTACACAACGCCAGCTTGTTGACGGCCTCGGGAATTTTTCAGAAATAGCTACTCAGTCATGAATCGTGCAGTTCTGGGGCTGATTTTCGTAGTTTTTCTTTCATCTTTTTACCTCGAATGCAAAGGTTAGTACGAAATTAATATTGATTTGACGAAGATAGATTTTTGTAAAAGCTATTAAAAGCTTTAAGTTGATGTTATCACCACTATCGATTGCACGCGAAAAACCTAAATATTTGCATACAATTTAGCTACATAGGAAAATATACTCTAAGGTTAATTTTAAACTATTTTAAATAGAATTTCCCATTGTTTTCCGTAATTCCTTTGAGGTGTTTTTATCAGTCATTCGTTAATACAAATTTGCACAGCAATTCGGGAAGTTTGTGACATTTTAATCTTAGTTAATTACTCGACGAAATTATGTATGCATGAGCTTTGATTTGCTTCGTCATTCTTCAACATCTGTTGTCATAAGAGCAGCAGCTATTGTTTGTTTGACACAGCAACGAATCATTCTACGTCAAAAGCCAGCTAATTATTTCACTTTTTCAATCGAAGTGCTTAGTGCGCGCGAAATTTCTTTCAAAATGTCACGCGATATTGACAAAATAAAGATTGGTAAACGAAGAAGTGATGAAATTCAAAGCAAATATTCTTTTACCTTTTATTTGACTTGTACTGGCAGCCTTGCAGTATCAGGACTCACGTCACAGATTTCTAGGCTCCTTCTTGGAAACAGACAGTACCCTTGAATTTGTGCGCCATGATCACCATCGGTCCAAGAGAAATCTGGAAGGAAAGCTAACCAACCAATCAAAGGACTGTGAAGAGCCAGGAAATAATGTAAACTGTTCAGAAATTGAGGTAACTGCTGTTTCAATAACCTGTTTGTTTTTTTTTTCCTCTTTCTCTCATAAGCATATAATATTGTTTTTTTGTAATACTGTCAAATATCATGAAGAGCATACAAGTATTGTAATATAAGTTTGTTATCTACGACAATTTTGAGGTAATTTTAGACGTACAAGGTACTTGGGAACATAACCTTGTTTGAACTTTAACTGAGGTAAAAGTTATGAGCTGATTTTTGACATAAAAACTGCTTGGGAACATAATGGACTTTAAACTGAGGTTTGATACATAATTTTACAAGTCATGTGACAAAGGTTGTTCTTTGAAGTCCCAGAGGTGATTAACATTTAACTTCATCCTATAAAATCCATATGTTATCCTGCAAACAGGTGATGAGAATATTCATGCTTATCTAGTAGAGGGTAGAAATTCTTGTGCCCATTGTACAAGGAAATGTGTTACAGCTAGAGGGGAGAAGTAACAATCAGATCTTCGGAGTTAAATTGTGAACTGCATCTTGTGTTTGATATGCTGCAGTTAAAAAGTCCTTCCTTGGTGAATAAGAATTGTTTTAAAAATCTCAATAAAACATATAGAGAGTTAAGGAAAATAAAGAATACACAAATTAAAGGAAACGTGCATTGAGAAGTTTGAGAAGGGTAAAAAAGGTTTCACAAAGTCAACCCTCTAACTCCCAGAACTGATTAACATGTAACTTCTCCCTATGACATCCATACTTCAACCAGCAACTAGGTAATGAGAATATTCAAACTCATCAGGTAGTTGTTACCTTGATCTAACAGCAAATTCTTGTAACTAATTAACAAGCTAATGTGTAGCAGTTACTGGGGAGAATTAGCAATCAGGTCGTGGGAGTTAAAAAGTTAAAGACATGAGGAATATACCTATATAGCAAACTAAAAATGTGAAAAGGTAAATAAAAGATTATAAAAGATCTGACTGTTACAGTAGGTTTAATTTGAGAGGACTACTTGACTGTATAATTATGTGTACCATGAAGTCTTTTCAAAATCCTTCTCACAGATCTTATGCAATATTATCAACCCCAAATTGTGGCCAAGTATTTTCTTAAGTTAATATTGGAGACTTAACTTTGGAAACAGATAAATATTGTAACATGCAACTCACATTATTTACATATAATATACATCCAGCCAAAACTGCCCTATATAAGCAAAATGTCATTGGAAATATCGCCTAGTCAGACAGTTGTCTCCAATAAGGTCTGATAGTCCTTGACCGCCATTTGTTTTTGAAGTCTACCCTCAACTTGCAAAGTACCAGTAACTTGTAAGGTCTTATGTTGTGAATAAATTTGTATCTTACCCCTCAGAAGATTAGTGAAACTCGTGTTGGAATCAAATTTGTTCCTCTTTTTGAGCTATTGATTATTTCAAGAAGTGTTTAATATGGATGGAACGAAAAAACAATGTTTGATGTTATTCAACCTAGATGTGGCTTCAAAGAATGATGGAATTAGCAATGCACTCAATGTTGCATTTTGAAACATCAGTATTTTCGGTCGATATGTCAAACATTGGTTAGCTTTAATAACCTTTTGTAATTACTTTTAGCAAATGTTAACAAGTTATACCCTGTGATTAGAGAATTTGCTTTGATTTAATTCTAGCATAATATTGATACATGTTCTCTTTTACGTGACTCACTTTTATTTTTGGCTCAGTGACAGTGATATTTCTGATTTTAATCCATGGAATGTTTTGCTTGAGTGTGATTGGTCTAAATTTATTACATGTCTGTTGTACATGTGCTAAAATATATTTCAAGATGAGTGAGCCTCTGGCAATTGTTACAAAAGAAGGGAAAAAATTTGCAGGCACATTTTCCTTATCTGTTTCTCAAAGCTCACAGTTTTCCTTGAGATTTTCTCAGGAAACTGTTTGCATCTCAGAACAGATAATGTCCGTGGTCATATATCTGTACTTATTATCCAATTGGGCTTCCTAAATTACAAATAACATGCGAGATGTGTACAAATAAAAAATCATTATGCGACAGAAATATCTTTGAAATTTGCCTCCACTGAAATAACAATTTGATATGTTGGATAATAAATCTCTTATTACATGTTTAGTTGTGTAGTACCACTGAGTATTTTCACTCGTTGTTTGTATTTTGACTGGTCCTATGGGCTTGTCAAACTATGGCACCACTTGTAAAAATATTCGGTGATACTACACAACAAAACATCTAATAAGATAAATATATTTGCATGCTAAATGGAGGCAATTGTTTTTTATGCGAACTCTCTATTATGCAGACATTTAATTAGCCTAGTCTCCATGAGCCCAGATAATCAAGTTCAACTGTATGATGCTGTAGTGTGACATAAATCCATGCATTCTCTTTCATTGATCAAGATATCTAATTTGCTGTTGAGTCTAAGTAAACATGTAGGGTATAATTGTGCAAAGTGGGTCAAATACAATTTCATGTGATACCATTAAAGCTTAAATTTTGCTGAAATTTCAATGCTATATCATATCACTATTTTTTGCCTTGGACTCGTACTACGATGCAGGGTTGTTGCTAAGAAAATGGCCTGCTGGTTGAGGAAGCAATTCAGGTGGCTGTGTCCAGTTCTTTGTAACATCTTGTTTGTGGGGTTACCAAGTTTTGAGTTTACAAAATGGCAATCTAAAACAGAGAGAGACACAATATAGACCAGTCAGGACCAGTAAATTCAAAACAAAACTTCATTTCACCTTTAATAATTTTGTGGCCTAGATTTAGTTTGGTGTTTAGTTTTGCCTTTTTGTTTTCAAACGGCAAGGTATATATTTTGTTTCCATTAAAGTAAAAAAAATCAGAACTTGTCTGTTGAGCGATCACCAGCCAAAATTCAGCTGGTTACTGCCTCTTTCTCAGCTGGCGAATTTCACCGCCTGCCAGCGCATAACAACAACCCTACAATGTTATTTATCAGTGACAGAAAAGTATTAATTTTCTTTTTTTGTTCTTCTGTTAGGTGAACCATAGATACTATGTTTCACAAATTATTAGTGGTGGAAAAGAGTACTGGGTTGACGTTAGAGGTAATCCTAACCACACTGATGAAAGTGACCTATCAAACAGCTATCTGTTAAGAAAGGTATTAAGTACTATCTTTACATATATGTACATTGAATT